AAAAAAAAAAAAAAAAAGGTCAAAGCTGAGGCAGTGATGAACGCCTCGATAAGGATCAAGGATCAATTAATGCTTTTCAAAAGAATCAGCTTCGCCTTGAACATAGCTTTGAGTTGTAAATTCCACCCTCGTCGCCCCCGAATACTGGCTAATGAGTATTCAGCTTGATGCTTATAATATCGGTTTCCTTAAGTTGTTCTACTTTAGTAGCGATGTTAACATGCTTTGTTGGCTGTTTTGAGTTACCGCCTGTCGAGACTATGCGCTATCCCTTCTATCTCATGAACTTTATGCGTATTGATTCGGGGAGTATGAGTAGGAATTGTCCACTCTCATAACCACATGTGTTGAAGGTCATGACTACTTACCTCACAGTCACTGCAAATGACCTTTCCTCCTCTTCTTAATTCGCTGCCCAATGAGTACCTAATAGACGATGATGCTTCGACAATTACTTTATGTCCAAATTTTCATGAAGCGAAATCAAGCGAGATAATTGCAATAATGCAGATTGCCAATGCAACACTACAGGGTAAGCACCAAGCTTAGTTCAAACAACATATACAATTGAAGCCAAATGAAGTTGAACTCGATGGGTTCAACAATGTGAATTATCCTTCAATATAATGTTAGACCTTTGGTTGCTCATGCATTTTTTCTTTTGCTTTTTGCTTCTTAGGCACTTTGCGGTATTTATTAGTCGGATAGCTACGTGTCATGGCCCATAATGCAGAGAGCCGCATTGCCATCAACATTCATTAGCTACCTGGGCTAACATGAACTGTCAAATACCAAATCTGTAAGTCGACGCATGCAGTCTAAAAACTTAGAGCACTCCGTTGAACAACACATCGCTGACCCGCCTGCCCGCTATAGTGATGTGTACATGCTGTAGACTAATTATTGTATAGACGAAACATTGTCATGTGGATGAAACATCGGTCTAGCATACCAACCACAACCTTGCTCGTCACAAGACAGGGCCAAACTCGATGAACATGAACCGGTTCTATGTCCAAGACATTGATCAAAATCAAGCCATGATCTAATACTACCACGTGCCACTTTGATATATTATCCAAACCAATATGATTCTAGATAATCTGGACAAAGGATTTACCGACAATTCCCCGGACCGTCGAAACTCGAAGGATTGGGTGGAATGCTCACGGCAGTGGAGTTCTCGATCCGGGGAGGCTAAGCACAAGCCACTGAGCAGCGAACCTCCCATTCATAGTACCTATGATAGGCAGGCCAGGCCTGCAACCTCCAACATCTTGCCAAGGGGCCATGTGTTTTTGCGTCAAGTCAACGATGCGCCCGCTTTGAATTGCTCTATTGTTTGATTGTGCTTGATCCAGATGATTTGAATCTTCAGTTTTTGCCATTTCTTCTATACCAATCCGCAACTCCCTCCACCCCTTTTCGACCGCCATTGTTCTCTTGGCTCCTTGTCCTTGGCTCCCGTCTAGCTCGCTCCCTGTTCTGTTGGACGGACGGGGTTGCCGTCATCTCCCTCACCTTCGAATTAACCTCTCAACCGTCATCGTCCGAGCTTCTCGATACCTCCGCCCACGATGGCTTCACACGGTCAATACTCTCCGGCGCACATCATGTCCAACAAACACCATCATGCTCCTTACGGTTCCGCCCCCGTAGCTGTTCCTGGAGGCGCTCCAGCTGGTACCTTCGCGCCAGGCACCAAGATTCAGGTCGGCAGTCGCCGTGTGGTCATTCAGAAATATCTCTCTGAAGGAGGCTTCGCCCATGTATACCTCGTCAAGTTGGACAAGCCTGTTGACGGCACTGATCAAGCCGTCCTGAAGCGGGTTGCGGTGCCCGATAAGGATACTTTGCGGGGCATGCGCACCGAGGTCGAAACAATGAAGCGCCTCAAAGGCCACCGACCGATTGTCACATATATCGACTCGCACGCTTCTGAACTTCAAGGAGGAGGCTATGAAGTTTTTCTAGTCATGGAGTTTTGCAATGGCGGCGGCTTGATCGATTTTATGAACACCAGGCTACAACACCGCCTTACCGAGCCAGAGATCCTCAACATCTTCACCGACATCGCTGAGGGTGTCGCGTGCATGCATTACCTAAAACCACCACTACTGCACCGCGATATCAAAGTCGAAAACGTTCTAATAACCGCTAGAGGGTCTTCCAAGCGTTTCAAACTTTGCGATTTCGGCTCAGCAGCATCACCTCTTCCCGCCCCCACCACCGTTACTGAGTGCCGCCTCATGGATGAAGATGTGCAGAAGCACACCACAATGCAGTACAGGAGTCCTGAAATGGTCGACGTATACCGCAAGCAACCTATAAACGAGAAATCTGATATTTGGGCATTGGGTGTCTTGCTGTATAAGCTGTGCTACTATACTACTCCTTTCGAGGACCAGGGCCAATTGGCCATCTTAAACGCCAGCTACCGTTTCCCTAGTCACCCTGTCTTTTCTGACAGGCTCAAGAAATTGATAGGTAATGCTCATTGGCCCTGGAGCTTTGTTTAAGTACTAACACGGATGTTAGCGTCAATGTTGAGAGAGAATCTACAGGATCGACCAAACATTTATCAAGTATTGAAGGAAGGATGCGCCATGCAAGGACGCGATGTCCCAGTTCAAGATGTACGTCTAAAATTTCAGCCAGAGGATATCATATTGACAATCTGCAGATCTATAATGGCCGTTCCCAACCACATGTTAGAACTGATAGCCCTCATCATATGGCCCAGAAACCGGAGCAAGCGCCAGTGGGTGCGGTTTTTGAGCGCGTCGAACCGCAGAAGCAGGTTATCCCTGATGTTGTGCCGATGAGAAGAGGACGACCGACTGCTTCGCCAGCCCCAGGCAAGGTGTCCCAGAAACCGGAAGCTTCCCCAATGCGAAAGTCAGAAGGGGATCCTTTCGCAGCCCTGGATTCAAAGGCCGCTTCGAAAGGATTTGATGAATTGTCATCTCGATTCCCTACGCTCGACCAGTTCTCATTGTTGCACGACCAGGGGAGCAAGTTCGATTTCGATGTTTCCTCACCTATTTCTCCAGTAAATGCATCCTCAAATCTAAACGAGAGAGTAACAGCAAAATTGGCGGATGAGGCATTCGCGTCTCCCCCAGCCGACTCTTCTCGCCCGAAGCCAGTGTCTAGAACTCACTCGGTTACCCCTGTCGGGCATCAATCGGCCGTCGCCTCCCCTCCCCTCGAGCCTTCATTGTCAAAGACTTCATCCGCACCGAGCAGACCTGATATCAGCAGGGCACAATCCATTATCAGCAACAATCCTGAGTTACAGGCCATCTCTTCTCAAAACAGCTCCCGCTATGTCTCCACGGGTACGATGACTTCAACACCGCCGCCAGCCGAGAAGTATAGCCGCGAGATGGAACAGCCCGTCCAACACGATGTTCATGATTATGTCCGCTCCAGTAGCGCCACAAGGCAACCTGAGCAAAGTGCAGGACAGTGGACTATGGAGGAGCCTCGTCCTACTTATGTGCAAAGAATCCCACCTTTCCAACAGTCCGGTCATGAACGTCAGCCGTCCTCGTCTAGACCGTCCCTGGAGGGTGGTCGCCCCCGTGCTGACTTCTTGGAACCCTCGTCGCGCGCTTCACCGGCACCGGCGCCATCACGACCTCGACCTGCCAGCACAAACCTCGAGGGAACAACTCTTGATTTTCTGCGTGAGAGAGAGGCCGCATCGCGCTCCTCGAGTCGACCACCCCAAGCTCCTTCACCCTATCAGGAACCTGCAGATGATCCACGTGCATCGAGTGACATGGACTTCTTGAGAAGTCTGGAGGACTCAGAGCGAACCAAGCGTTCTAGCTTGACTGCGCTGTCAGGTAACAAGAATATTCTCGCTGGCAAATTTGGAGACGCATTCAAACGCTTCGAAGGTAGCTCTCCTAACAATGGAAGAATTCCATCACCCGAAAGGGAGACAGCACGCCGCGACTTGACTCCCATTGCCGGCTCCGAAGCAACGGATGGACGTAGCGACGATGGTCATGTTCATGACGACGAGGACTGTATGACACCTGAGATGAGGCGTGAGATGGAACGCTTGAAGCTTCAAGAAGAGGAACAGCGGGTGGAGGCGGCACAAGCTGAATACCGAAAGAGGGTAGCTGCAGGACAACGTGGACCACCAGTTCCTCCAAAGAGCATCGGCGGGGTTTCGCGTGCTGTCAGTATCCAAAACCGGGTCCAGAGTCTTTTGAACGAGGAACAGAAACCATCCAATGTTCAAAGGACTGCTCAAGGTTACGGCAAGTATACCGACACCCCTGAGACTGGTAACAAGTCCGAGAAACCTCTGCCAGGAGTGCCTAAGAAGCCATTGAACGTGACAAAGACCCGGGCCGATTCTCCTCAAATCCGAAGCCCATCTTCGACATCGTCTGCTCCTCCAGCTCTGACTTCAAAGCCTCCAATGAAGCCCCCAGCCCCCAAGAAGCCGGTCCACCTCAACAGTCTCCCCACTGGTCAGAGACCGCCATCGCCTCAGAAACCAACCCGTGCTCTAACAGCTTCAGAGGACCTTATCAGCATGGATAGCCCTGGGCAACAAATGCTGGAGATGACAGCTCAAGAGAAGGATGATTATCTACAGGACTTTTCCAAGCGGTTTCCCAGCCTAGGCTCGATTGAAATGGTCGAGCGAGAGATCAGTGGACAGAACGGAGGATCAAGCCGGTAAATAGACATTGGCTAAGGTATCTAGAACTGCCATATTGCATGTACATTTGAATATACTCAGCGCATAGCGTCCAGCATATTTCTGGTCAGAATCAACTAAGTCTGGACCATGATGATTGAGCATGCATGTGGTGGGGCCATCGTATCCACCCTTATCTTATCTCCCAATATTTTTTTCTCCAGAGCAAGGTTCGTAGTGACCTGGGCAGAAGCTTCCTGCAAAGACTACCATCAAACATCAAAACAAATACAACAAAATGGCCAAACGCAAGAGACAAGCTGTCGCGCAGAGCGAGCCCGTCGCTGAGCCTTCGGTCGTCACGAAGAAGGTCAAGGGCGCCAAAGCTCTCAAGGAAAAGCCTGTAAAGGAAAAGGCTCCAGTGCCTGTGAAGAAGACTACGACCGATAAGACTGCTTCGAATGCGCCCGAGACAATCCAAATCGTCGTCGGCTCCTACGATCGAGTTCTTCACGGATTGACAGTGACAGTTGGAGGCAAGGAGAAGGCTGAATTTGCCGACACATTCTTGTTCAATGCCCATACCTCAGCAATTCGTTGCGTCGCCGCCTCGCCCATTTCAGCGCCTGTCCCCGGACAAACACAGAAGGTCATGCTTGCTTCTGGCAGCACTGACGAGCGCGTGAATGTTTACAACCTATCTGCGCACCCCCCAAGCCGAAAGAACCAAGAGATTATGGCCAAGGTGGCACCCCGACCGATCCTCGAGAACCCCAAGAACCGAGAGGTCGGCACGCTGCTTCATCACTCTTCGACGGTCACATCGCTTTCCTTCCCTACACGATCAAAGCTGCTGTCGTCAAGCGAAGACTCTACGATTGCGGTTACACGAACCCGAGACTGGTCTTTGCTCAGCAACATCAAGGCGCCCATTGCCAAGCCTCAAGGTCGTCCCAGTGGTGATACAGCACCTTTCGGAGGTACACCGTCTGGTGTCAACGACTTTGCCATCCACCCCAGCATGAAGCTTATGATCAGTGTTAGCAAGGGCGAGCGTTCAATGCGATTATGGAACTTGGTCACCGGCAAGAAAGCTGGAGTATTGAACTTTAGCAAGGACATGCTGCAGGAGGCTGGCGAGGGAAAACACTCTACTGGTGAGGGACGAAGGGTTGTTTGGGGAAGCGTCGATGGAGCAGATGAATTCGCGGTTGGATTTGATCGGGACATTGTGGCCTTCTCAATGGACAGTGTTCCTAAGTGCCGAGTGATGGGATCGATCCGAACCAAGGTGCACCAATTCTTTTATGTTGCACTAGATAAAGAGGGGGATGAAACGCTGTTGGCTGTCGCCACGGAAGACGGGCGCATCCTCTTCTTCTCCACCAAGGAGTCGGACCTTTCAAAACCGGACTCGGATGACAAGAAGCTCCCAACGGCCAAGTTGGTGGGTCAGCTCGGCGGCAAGTCAGACGGAGTTCAGGGCCGCATCAAGGACTTTGTGGTGGTGCCGAGCGCTGAGGACGCCTCAACGCTGTACGTGGCGGGTGGAAGCAGTGATGGACGGGTTCGTCTGTGGCGGGTAGGAGTGTCGGAATTGCAGGGTAACGGCAAGGAAGAGACCAAGGGAGAATTGTTGGGGACATATGAGACGCAAAACAGAATTACCTGCATGACAGGATTCATGATGATACCCCGACCTGAGGGAGTTGAGGACAGCGAAGATGAATTGGATGATGAGGATGAGGATGAGGATGAGGGAAGCGACAGCGGTGAAGATTAAAAGGGACTTTAGTCAAAAGAAATGAGTGTATATGGCTGTGGTTGGTTGATTATTGATGTTTTGATAAATATAAGCTACCTAATGTATGAATACCTAAGTATTTGGTGATAATGATTGACTGTCAGCCTTCGTATGCGCCCAGTCAGTATCACATGTAAATTGAAGTATGTGGTTCCACAAACTACAGTACTACCGTATGCTTACTGCAGGGAGACTAGACAGGTAAAGCTAATGAGGAGATACGGATAGAGTTACACCACATCAGAACAGCCTCTCTTCCAGTATATGATAGAGCCAACAACTCATCCATTCCAGGTCTCTTTCTGTCCCATCGTTGGCTCCTCATTCTTCAGCGGGCTCTAGGGTCAGGGGGACCGTGCCTAGGCCCCGTGAATGGGACGTCCGGTAGGTAAGGTACGGCACTGTCCTGTATCACGAGGGGTCGTAAATGCAAGTCAAGTTTAGAGAGTCACTAGAGCTGACCAACCACGGAGTCTGGAATTCAAGCTTGAGGCGTCTTGAATGTGGGGTAATGAACGCGATTGGACAGATGCATGATGATCGGGAACTGGATCCATTCCGTTGAGACTAAACAAACACATGGAAGCGAAGGATTTTAGAGATATGGTCTTTCTTTCTTTGTTTGATTGAGTCTTACTTATCCTATTTCTAGAGCTATCCTTCTATTGATGTCAATGTTTGTGACGACAATAAGCACTGACTGTTCACCAACATCAGCGGGGACTAGGTTGTCTCCATGAACCAGGCCAGGCCAGGGGTGTTGGAGGAGGGTTCTCACGCTGTGGAGGTAGATGGGGCATATCTACGTAATTCCTGGGGCCCTTAGACGCAACTGTCTGTCTCTTGCCAGGTCTTGTGAGCATGTGAAGAACGTTGCCGTACATTAGCTTGCTACCTCTACTCAGAAACTGTGCCGCCTCTCTTCTTTTCCGTTGCATCTACCCTTTTCTCTATATCTACTGGGCTTTGAGGCTTGAAATAAACTCTCTGCTATTTGTTTACTTTTACTCTTACATACCTCTCTCTTGCTTTGCCCGCTTGCAAATCTTTGCCACTCAAGTCAATTGGACCCTGACTACTTCAGACTCTCAACGTCTCAACTTCAGAACTGACTCGACGTTTTCAATCCTCACTTTGACTTGAAATCTCTGCTCACTCATCCTCAGTCAGCTGGTGATTTGACCGCGGATATCCTGGCCCCAGCTAATTGTATCCGTGCTCGTTAGCTTGAGTCGTGAGTGAAAGTTGATAGACAGGGTTGTTGCAGAGCCTTGGAACCCCTAACAACTTCAACTTTTACTTAATCTCTTTTTACCTTGCAACGAGATCTTGGAAGCTGCACCACAAATTACATTTTCCATTGAGGCCATAAGCACGGAGTAAGTAACACTGCATTGCCTGATGTTGAGACTTGCAGGTTCAGCTGAGCTGGAGAGTCTAGAACCTAGGTCTTATTCTCAATGGCTGACTGTCCACTCAATATCATTTTGTTCAACCCAATCTCTAACCACTTTCCTACCTACAGTCCCAATTGTTTTGAAACTCCAATTTTAAAAGAATAGACACACAATGGCCGACGACGGACCTCCTCTTATTCGTCCCGTCCCTCGAAGACCTTTCGACCTCAACTTGACAACTCCTACGCCTCCGAGCGAGAACTCGTCTCCCCCATCACCCGCACACCCAGCTCGAGATCCTACCATTGCGCGCTTCCTACAGCCAACACCCGAACCTGTAAGCGCAGGCTTGAGCAGACCGCAATCGTTTTTGAACTTGACCTCGTCAACACTTTTCGGCATATACTCTCCAACTGCATCCTCCTCGCGCGACCGCGTCTTCGCCGATCGCGATGAACTCGATACGCCGTGGGGTACAGGCGCTCAGACTCCCATCAAGCGACCCAGCATCGACGATGCCACATTTGATTTTCTAAAAGATCGGTCACATGCAATCCGTCGTCGATCGTCGATCCGTTCCCAAGCACCTCCTGCGCCTGTGAAAGCTTCCCCTTCGGCTGGCGCTTTGGTTTTGAGAGGACTGTTGCTCTTCGTTCTTGGTGTGGGTTATGGCGTATTGGTCACATCGCGCTTTAACGACGGATCGGATAGCCATGCGTCTGGTACCACGTACAATTGGTTGCACCTGTCATTCTGGGGTCTTGCTGGCGTTGCACTCGGGGCGCTGTTTCCTTGGTTCGATCGAGTCTGGGAGGATTCGTTTGGCGAAAAGGAGGATGAAGCTGTGGTTGAGAGCACTGCAGCCAAGGATGATGATCCGAGCACTGACTGGGCAATTGCAATTCGAGCTATTGGTGCCTTTGTCGGAATTGTCTTTGCCATTGTAAGTCAACCAACAAAGAATTCTCTATAAGTGTTACTGTAACTGACAACCTGCAGCGCAAGGTGGCATGGGCGTCCACTCTTCAGGTATCCTTAACCCTGGCAATGGTCAACCCTCTCCTGTGGTGGCTTATCGATCGCTCTAAGCCTGGATTCTTCCTCTCGACTGCTGTTGGCTTGACAGGCTCAATCATTCTCCTTGGCATCAACCCTGATATGATGCCAGCACCCGCTCACGCTCCTTTCAGGCACTTGGTCAATGCCACAACATCATCTCAAGATGAAGTCGTTCCTGTTCTTGGTGGATATGCGCACCAGGAGACGCTTGAGACGGGTATGTGGATGCTCAGTGTCCTCTTCTGCAGCTGTGTCTGCTTCGGAAACATTGGTCGTCGACTGACCCTCGGCCCATCTGCCACGGCAAAAGGTCGTTGGGCTGGTGTGAGATAATACTCAGTGAGAAACACAACTGCAACGGCTCTTCGCACTATAGCATGATGTGTCCATAATATTTGTTTACTGTTTCGGTGGTATCTAGGGAGATATAAAGGGTGATATCGGTTATAGTCATCCACCCAGATTGGATAGAACATCATTATGTATATTTAGGAGTAAATATCGCGATCATATGATATGATATATATCATGGAACCAGAACATAGTGGTCTGTTTATGACGACAATTATTCTAGTATTTCTAGCAAGGGTACGGGCGGTTGGCCATCGACTCATGAAGCCAAATCATTGCGAGCAGCAAATTTAATCACACGTTGAATATTACAATCTTGGATATCGATGTCTTCGGCCTCGTCTATCGCTTGATCTTTCGTATATTTGCGGGGCAGCAGTGATTTCGTGGGATAGCAAAAGTCACATTGATTCAACGCGACTACATTTTCTTCTTGATGTTAGTTATTACCTTTTTTATTTTTGCCAGATTTTACTTGTTTCCCATTTCCACACCGAAAGTTTGTCCACGCTTTGTTCCATCATGATCAGCCCTGCCAGGGCCCGAAGATCGTCGCGTGACGCAAGTTCAGTCGGCACAACGTCATTTTGTGTACCTTGGGTCCATATCAAGATGAGTTATTGAGAGCCTCCACCACGGCTTCCGACTTTTCTCTAATGGCAGGGCCAAAGTCGAGGTTGGACATACCCATCATGACAAGCATGCGGGGGTCTTGAATGGTTTGGTTGATCATGATGGTACGGGTGAGGACATCGTGGAAAGAGGAGGCGGCAGCTTGGGGTCCTGAGTTGTCTAATTGCAGATGTTAGTATGCGGCTCATGAAAGAGACTCGTTGTGTTACTTACTACCGTTGTTCTTGGGAATCTGTTCAGGGTGCTGGACTGGTCGACCGGCGGCAATATTGTCCAGCTCAGTCATGATATAGTGGGATCTCTTAACAAAATCCCAGACATGGAAGAGACTGCGGTCGACATTGGGAGGAGTCCAGCTGCTATGAGACTCAATGGCTGAGATGAGCTCGGCGAAACGGGCTGTGATGGTTTCACGGGACTCTGAGGAGGGGATCGTAGCGTCGGAAGGCATGATGGCTGCGTGTAGATTTATAATGGAATGGCGAGATGTTTGAGAGTTGTTGGACAATAAGTTCAATTGCGAAGATCCAAGCAAAGAGGTAAATTGGAAATGAAGATAATAGAGCAGAGTTAAGTTGAGTTGAGTTCTTGAATTTACGAAAAGGGGAGAGGAGAAAACATAAACGTAGCATCAACGTCAGAGTCGCCAGGGGAAAGAACGGGTTCCCCGCTGTAACAGTGCCTTGCCCTGACTGTGTCGTATGCTCAATTGCTTCTTTTATGGGTAGACAAATCAGATCGAATTGGATCCTATTAGTGGCCAGAGGTGCTGTACTGTACTGTGCAATAATACTCAGCAACGGCAGAGAAACCCACCCTGTGGCTTTTTTGGAGTCGCGTATCTCGCCAGAATCCTACCACCTTCAGGGAGTTAAGCTTTAGGCTGTTTCAGTTTCCAATAAGTGTCTTGAACTGGTCAACAGCCAAGACAAGCTTCTGATAGATCATATCAAGCTCCAGGTGGCTTGCATGGTCGCATATGTACTGTAAAACTCGGGTCAAGAATGCAGTATCGTATAAACCTATCGATCGTTCTAGAAGTCGGTTCGGGGACGAGTCGAAGCTATCGCCAGTGGGCGGTGAGAATCTGCGTAAAACATGAACGCACAGATCAGATTCGAGATGCTATGACGATAGAAAAAGGAAGGAAGCTGAAGCTCAATCCGAAATGACAAAAACAGGAAAGGATTGACATGTGATAATGGGGGAGGAAACAATGGACGACACACTGAATAAACAAAGGGCTGGCGAAGGGTGAATCACTGATAGTAAATGCTGTATTGTTAGGGAACTGACTATTCTTCAAATCTAAAGTAGAGTGGTTAATGAATAAATAAATATTGTGCTGATAACATTAATAGATTTGAAAGAAATACCCGTCAGGTAGGAAGCTCATGTGGGGGTTTCGACTAAAGATTCAGGGTCCTGGAGCTTGAGCTTGAGCTTGAATTATATGGGGCTCTTGGCCGAAAGACAAGACAACCATTCCGAATCTACTCATGTACGTGGCGAAGTTTTTTCTCTTGGCAACTGTTTTGGGGCATGTTGAGATAAGAAGTTATCTTGACTAAGCGGAAGAATGTTCTAGTAGACTTAAACTGAGTTGTGCCACCGAGTTGAGCACCTCGTCATCCATTACTGGCTTCGTCAAGTCCTGATCCGGGAACTAAGGATTCGGAGATGGTCTAGAACTTATGGAACATTGGCGAATGCGAGATGAACTAGACTGTTCTGAATATGAAGAGGGCGTATAATGCTCAACAACTAAGCGTCATCAAGAACAGGGTCCTGGGGTACGGTACGATACGATATGTATGTGTTGGACTGATCCCCTAAATTCATGATGAGCAAGGAAACATTCCAACGGACAGGTACGAGATGGGACTAATGGACTCATGACACTCAACGGGATGGCCGCAATGGGTGGCTAAGAAACTAACCAAGGTGGTTTGAAGCCTCAATCGAGATGGATTCTCATGCCATGCATGAGATCAAACGAAGCAACCCAAGTACTGTACCTGGAGGACATCAACTGTCAAGGAAGTTCGTTCAATACCAACGCCTAAAAGAACAAGAACACCAGACAACTGAATAACTTAGTACTTGGCGCATCTCGATCCGGCCCGCCACACCCTGGAACTATTGGACGATACGGACAAGGCATGGGAGAACGATGATGCGTAGATTAGATCCTGTCCAACTTCAACGCTGTCTTGTCTTGTGTGCCTGTCACTCTCAACCTTGAATTGCAGATGAGATCTCAGATTCGAAGTTTGATCCCGCGCTTCTGGACTTTCGGGATGGCAAAGAGATCTACAGTCAAAAGAGAATGAATGGCTGAGAGCTTCTGTATAGTCTTTTGACGGCATATCATATCCATGACCATCATCATGGATCCCCCATAGTTATCGACATGCGTATCCCTGTTCATCTCTTCGTTGTTACCAAGAACGTGCATGTCATATGACGCCAACGACTCTGTTTGAGCCTCTTTTCTGACCCTAGATCCTGGAGCCTTGGTTAGCCCTGAGTCTTACAGTGCCCGCAGTGCATACGCCAGCCTAACCAGTCACCGGGCGGCCTAAGCCTAAGCCTAAGCCTAGGCCTGACCCAATCCAAGTACAGCGCTGTATCACAGCCTTGCTGGATTAGTTCAGGCCCCGATCTAACTAATCTTTCTTCTGTCTCGGATGTTGCCAGCCCGTTTATTTGCTGATGGCCGGTGGATTATCCCTTTTAACCACTTTCTTAAGTAGCTTCGATGCGCCAGCTGCTTTCTCCGATGGCCGTTACATCTCCAGCGCCCTCTCGATCGTCAAAACACCAGCGCAATCACCATCGAGACCCCTTTTTCTGCGACACGGAACGCCGAACCCTCCTCTACCCGGATCCTCCGACCCTCAAAAAAAAAAAAA